GGGTGATAACGTTGTGAGGCTAATGCTGCTTGTTAGCCCATCTATGGTGTTTTGCATTGCGTTAATATTAAGCTTCATGTACTTTAGGCAAAGCTATGGCGTTCTTCTGAATACACAACATTTCATTCTGTATTTTATGTTGGATGAACTTCAACCGGGAATGGCGAGAAACAGCTTGAAGGCTCTTTCTTGAAAAATTGTTTACTAACTCCTGCCATTGGCTGGCGACCACTCTCGGCTCTCTCTCGCCTCTTGCCCAAAGTCAGCCGTGATCGGCAAAACAAAAAACAGCTGTCCCAATGACTTCTCTCATCTCAAAAAAACGTGTAAGTCATGTGACGGGCACATCAAGGCACCACTGTGACACTATTAACATACATAATTTTATGGAAATTTTCAGTCATGATTGAGATTCAAGTAAATTCTTTGGTAGGATAACTTAGTAAAACACCGTTTAGAGCAGCGGTGTCAAACTCATTTTTTGTCTCGGGCCACTTCGGAGTTACGGCTTCCCTCGGAGGACCGGTGCAAAATCTCAACGTTATTTATTACCCATGACAATTTGACATTTCGGTCCAGATTTCAGCAAGAATCATGAAAGTTGACACACATGATTTGCTCCCGGGGGCCACATAAAATGACGTAGGGGGCCAGATCTGGCCCCCGGGCCTTGACTTTGAAACATGTGGTTTAGAGTGTGAGGGTTGGGTGGCTTGATGGAGGGCGAAACATCATACACCTGACAATGGCCTGATTATGGTGGGCTTTTGGAGAAGTCCAATGGCTCTGAATCAGGTTTTGGTTCCAAGAATAGAGTCGGATTGGGAGTGACTGAATCTGGCATGTGCTGCAGGGATCAAAATCGACCGCTGCCAGTCGGATGGGCCCCGGGGCGAAAGCCACATGCCATGTTTAGGACTTGGAGAATCGGGGTGGGAGGTTCAGGCTATTTGAGGGGAGGAGGAGGGATGGGTTGGGAAAGACGGGGGGCCGACTGATGAGAGAGGACAACGTCCACTCTCCTCGATAGGTTTACCAGTTCATATGGGTGACAACAATATAATTGGACCACTGGCTTTTATTTTGAGTCCACCCTGGTATGAGGAAAACAGAATCACTGGAGTTGCCACGGCAACAGCTTCATGTACTTTCTCAGTGGTCTATGGAACATTTTTTTAACAGTTTTTTTAAATCGGAGATGAAACTTTAAGATTCATTTTCTTGCGCTGACTTTGAATCTGCCCTCATTTTCTTTCGCTAGCACATCAGGTTTTTATAATGATAATAGAACAACAATATAATATGTAACGTCGTCATATCTTTAGTAATATTTATTAAGGACTAGGTTAGCAACAGGTGGATTTTTTTTTTTAAATCTGAAACATCATGGCCGTAACTCACAACACATGGTAAAATCCGTATTGCACAAGCTTTTATAGGTCAAACCTAAAAAAAAAAAATAAAAAAAAATCGGGGTGGAAGGCGGTCTTCAAGTGCCCATTTAACAGGCGTGACCTGTCAGAGCCCTGGCTAACTTTATAGGAGGTCTAATTTACTGATGTGTACATAAGTTTTTAGTACCTACTCAAAAAAACGCCCCAAAAGATGACAAATCTTTTGCCATTTAGTTTGCAGGAATCACAAAACGGCTACTGTATACGCTATAGGGATATCATGTATAAGAATCTGTTTTATTGGATGATCAGGACTCGCAGATGGCTTCTTGTCATAATCGTCAAATCAGAAAGGAAGAACAAAGTTCTCTTGAGAGAGGCGTATTGTGCCCCTGATGAAACAAAGCCGAGGCACTTAGAATGTCTTCTCCTCGTTAAGTTTCCCACTTAGGAGTAAGACAACGTTTGCTGCAAAACAACGGGTAGGTCAAGAGCATCAAGAATAGATGTTGATTCCAATTATGTGGAATGCATTGGACAAGATGCACTAATGATGCCGTCGTCAGGAGAGTAAAAAAAAAAAAAAAATAGAGTAAAGGTGTTTATGTGCACACTTTAAACGAAGTCAAAAGCAAAAATTTCCATGAAGGCTGATACGACTTCAAATGACAATGGGGGGGGAGGGGGGACAGTTCTGGCTTCCGCACAGCAAGTGTTTTTGTGTATTTATCTGTGCTACGAGTCCATCAAGGTATAAAGATGAGAGGAAAAGTCATAATGAGACTGCAGCTCTACTACAATGAAGACTCGCATAGTTAAGAAAAAAAAAAAAGTGAAATGTTTTCAATTAATGATGCAGGTGACCGAGTATTTGGGTACTGTGAGATGGGGATTAACCACACGTGAGAGCTCCAAAGTTCAGTCCCCCACAGCACGTCCCCCAATTCATCTGGAGCAGGCTGCAATGGCGCAAAATGAGCAGACTGGTGGGAAGATGCTGCAGCCAATTAGTGCATCCTCAACCGTTTTGTCACACTTAAAGAAAGGGGATGGAAGAAAACAAGGAAATAAGGAATGAAATAAAAAGGAAGCAAAGGCAGGTGGCAAAGGAGGGATGACTGGAAAGAAAATAGGAAGGAAACTCTCGGACTCACAACAGAAGGACTCAAGAACACGACTCAGACGAGATCTACCTTCCAAGACGAAGATCTACTTTTCAACCTCCCCTGATCGAGTCATTACTGCACATGCACGCACACACGTATGCACACGGGCACGGCACGCACGTACACACACGATGATGAGCAACAGCCAAAATGAACCCTAACATGAACGAAACCGAAAAATAAACGACTTTGTACAGATACAAGACAAGTTTGCGTTTGTAAGAAAGGAATCGCTGCCTACCTTAGTGGGAGATCTGACAGGCAGGGACGCACTTTTGGAGTGCGTTCAGTGCAGAAACATCACCATCAAGTAACTAACAAGTACACACACACACACACACACACACACACACACACACACACACACACACACACACACACACACACACACCTGGTTTAAAGCTCTACATTATTTAATTATTAGTTCCTTTTTTTAGTTAATTTTTAAAAATATTCAGTGCTATTTTTTATTTTGGGAAAAACAAGTTATCGTGAGCTTTTCTGGGCATATGACCAATATGACAGACAGTCTATCGAGTGTTGGATAATCCACGTTGATCATTATAAAGTAAAATGATTTCTTGAAATAAAACATCAAATTTTGAACGCTAACTAAAAAAAAAAAAAAAAAATCTGTTAAGCGTACTGTAATATAAGTATCACTTTCAGGTACCTCAGACAAGCCTGATAAAATGTCAAAGAAATCTGGTGGGAGAAATACAAATGATTTAGGTTGGTGTGTTTACCAATGTGACGAAGATGAACTGGCACATTCACGTGAGAGCACAGAGACTAAATCCAAAAAGAAAGAGAATGCAATCAAGCACAGGTGGAACCATGGCTACCAACAAATCTAGTCATTTCATGACTTTTTTTTTAAATTACTGGTAGGAATAGAAAGGAAGACAATTGTAGGGGCCATGTTTTGCTAAATTAACTTTTTAATTCCTCTTATAAAAATAGTTTGGCCTATGGAGAGCCAGGCTACCAACAAGGGTGAAATTTAAAAAAAAAACAAGCACCGTAAATGGTTTTGTCAGTCTATTTCTGAAATCTTTTGGTGTGTCTGGCCACACCAAATTTCTCCACCCATGACATGACCAGCTAGGCTAGCCAAAGATTCAGAGCCTGGTGATTGATTGGACTACACGGCAGCAAAGCGCATCATACAGAAACACCCAACTATGACACCCGTTCCACCAAAACCCAAAATGTAAATAGGACGGCGCTGAATATTTTGGGATGCACAGATTAGCAGTCGCTGGCAGCATTAGCTTCTGAGATGCGGTACATATCTGATTACTTCGTGAAATTGTCAACACACTGGTGGGGAATATTTGTCTTTGTGTCTAGAAAAAGTAAACTTCTGCCTCCTTGATTTAAAATGTTTTTGCCTTTACACTTGCTCCTTTTTAGCCCATATGCTAGAAAAAAATGAACTCCACGACTCGGCAGGAATTCTATCATCAAGCTTACCCTTATGATCCTTTATATTTTTTCAAAATTTTTCAATGATTCAGCTGTAATGAAGCGCGTTACCTAAAGCAATGCAACACGGCAAGTTATTTGACCAGAAAAAGATATCCAAGGTTATCTTTTCAAATGTGTTTAGTTTGATAACAATGTATTTTCTTTACCAACCAATTAGCATTGCAACTTACGAAGGGAGTATGTACTCTTAGCACTGATTGGCAACCTTGACACGGGCAACTCCATTACTGGTCTTAAGAGTAATCCAAATATTTTAATTAGTAGTAACAAATGATGACATCGCTGTGCAATCAGGAGATGTATTGCTTTTGACAAATTTGACGATTTAAGAGTGAGGACTGAAAGAAAAAAAAAAAAACTACCAGTAAATGTGCCCAGTGGAGTGCGAAGAAGGTCCGCTGGAAAGCTGATCTTTGACCTCTAACGCTGGCATTTTGGATGACGTCTTCTGACATTTAAAATTCTAAATTGTGCCCATTACGTACTGCAAAGAATAGAGGCACTTCTCTTCTCCTGGTTTTCTCATCATCTATTTATCAAAGCACCAAGCAGGAATACAGAGCTATCTTAAACATTACACCCCCAGCGTCCATTTTGGTATTTGTATATATATTTTTTTAAATTTATCAATTGTTTTTCTTACCTTCAACAAAAAGCTACTGGCTATGTGGTGAAAGACAATCACATTCGGCACCTAAAATCGAATGACATTCAATGCAAACTACAACGCAAATTTGGTTTTTACAAGGGACAGGCGTTTTTTTTTTTTTTTGATAGTATTCCAAAAATTGTCATTTGTTATTTTAACCTCCTGACTTCTAGCTACATGGGAGAAATAGTGATGTGCCACGCCCGACCAAAAGATATACGGTACAGCGTAGGTAATGCTACATCACTCGTAATGTGGAGTTGCATTTCTCGGATGAAAGCATACTGAAAGTACACTGTGCTTGGCAAATGTGTTTATTACAAGTGATTGGGATTACACACATTTCGCATTGTTTACACTTGAAGGCTTTGGTTCGGTAAAACTGCAGTATGCATCTCTGCATAAAAATTAAGTCTTTACAGCTGCCGATCATTTTTGCTAAAAATGACAACCTCCTCAAAACCATAGATACCCATGTTGAGATATCATGTACTGTATGGATACAAACACAGCTCTTCAACTGGATTTTAGTCTAAGATTTTGAATGACGTGGATGACAAGGCAATAAAATACTGTACAACAGCATACAAGATTAACTCGCAAGATCAGCTGTCTTTTAATGACATTTGCTGCCTTTGATTATATTAAAATACATTGAGTGGCAACAAGAAGGGCAGTATGAGAAAACTCATAAGTGCACCTTTGGATTTGCATGTATTTACAGTGCAACAAACACGACACACACTGGTTAAAAGTTAAGCAAGTGTGTTGTGAAAATACCAGAAAATTCAACACACTCAAAAACAAAAAAGTGAACCAAAAAAAAAAATGGTCAAAAGGTGCTCAGGTATTTACACATTCATCAAAGTAGCCCACAAATGATTGGGTTGATTATACATACAACTGTATGTACCAGTATGTCTCTGTGCAATCATCAGTTGAATGCAAATTGGCTACTCGGATGAGAAGTTAAAAGTACAGTCATCTGAGGAAGACTGCACCAAATGACATGGTGGTACTATTCATACCATTTATCATCACTTTTTTTTTTTTTTTTTTTACTTCTCAATGCATTTTATCCTAAATCTGCTAGCCCTCACATTTCAAAAGAATCACTGTGTAACGTAAACACCATGAGGGTTTCCATAGCATTGAGGTAGAAAGAAAGTTGGCTGTTTTTTTTGTTTGTTTGTTTTAACCATTCCCCTAGTAGAAGAATTTGGGGATTTTGTTTCTTTATTCCGCTCTTATGGATCACGGCACTGCCCCTCATTGTCTTTCCTGGCCATCAAATCTAGCGCATACCGTAATACGATGTGGCATTGCTCATTTACCAAATTTCCTTGGATAATTTTTTTAATGTATATATTTAACAACAGAGGTTGAAATAAAACGCAATAACTGATGGCAATGGAACGATTGAAGACATCGACAGTGCAGCAAGATGACAATTTCTCCCAAAATATACAACACATAATGGACATAAAAAAAAAAAAAAAAAGCTCCACTCTTTACTTTCATGTCATGTAATCTAGATGTCACATCTACTTTGATTTTATGATTATTTTTTTGATCATCCATTTGTAACGTCCTCCGAGTGGTTTGGGCAAATAAATCCTACTCAACTTTTACATATAAAATATGTAAACAACACAAATGGGATACACGGTTTACAATTTTAAGAAATTAAAGACCCTGTAAAGTGTACACTGGAATTTGTTTACTACATTATACAATGTATAATCCATTACACGTGTTTGATGATAATTACTGAAAACATACTGAGAACTGTTTTTTTACTCCGAGCCGCTTGCGGATATCTACAGTACCCTAAAAAATTTTGAACAGTTTCAGTTTTCCAGAATTTTGGGGGAGTGACATTGTGGCTAAAACAGCGCCGGGTGACACACCTCAGGGTCCCCCGAGCATCACCCCACTATTAAAAAAAGGGGGCCTTCTTTTGCATCAATGGTGCAATTATGAGTTACTTTTTAAAATACTCCAAGTCCCATTTCTATTGCTACATCGTGTAGTTAGCTATAGCTAACTATACCTACACCTCAAAAATGTAACTTTTTTAGATGCCACAATTTTACACAACAGCTCAATGTCGTATTTAATTTCCAACAAGTAAGGAGGTGAGGCCACAGACAACGGTGCTTCCCGTGCACTGTCTGAGAGGAGCACCCGTTAGCTCGCAAGCTAGCTCTCGTCAGGGCGCAGTAACCTCACGACAATCCCGTGTGACGTATTCTAGCCACCGGAGGCTTTCAGTGGAAATATTTTCAGGGCTTAAACACATACGATGTGTAGGTAAGAAAAACACTTGTAGCAGTTTTGGGAGAAGGGGGGGGGTTTGTTTGTTGTTTTTAGCAGTGGTATCCGATTGACAATTGAGCAAGTCGGACTCACAACATTCCGAAAACGGAGGCAACAGCTTGAATTTTCAGTTTTGAAGCTTCATTGAATATATATGGCCATTTTTTTAAATTACTCAAATTTGGCAAGTTGTTAAAGCTATTCTCTGTGGTGTGTCAAATGTAGGATATCTCTTTTCACTTTACAGGGACTTTAAAATGTGATAGACAAAAAAGGAAAAAAATTGTCAGTATAATATTTGATCAATCCACAACATCTCAAGTGCTGTACATTCATTGTCACCTTTTGTGTAGCTTGCCAGGACCCCTCCTGCCCTGCCACTGCTTTGCAACCCACCTTGGACAGGTCTACACAAACACAGATACTGTATTTGGGGAAAAAAACAAAAAAAAAAAAAAAAAAAACTACATTTTCATATGTGCCTTGACATTTAGTCCACATGCAAATGCTCTTTGAGGTCAGTGAGTCGACTATCTTTTTGGAGGTGAAAACTTTCCAAACCCAATTTTTTTGGGAGGATTTACCTTGCAGAAAAAACAAACAACAGAGCTTTTCCTTGACTGGCCATCCTTGTCAGCTTGGCCTTACAAGTTACGGCACCTTGTGCCACCTGCTGTCTGGGCATGGGGCCGACTACCTACAGATGGATGAACGGCAAGGTGTTTTGGGATTTATTAACCCTGGAGTTGTGAAATTTAATTGTGTAATTTGTATGATCTGTTCAGACATACTTTGAGTACATTTTGGTAAGAGAGCTTGAGATGACAGTAGGTTTCCTGAGTTTTGTTTGGTTTGAGGGGTTAAGACCCAGAATATTGTTGCGCAATAAAAATGTGACTATCAAATGTTCAACACATTGGTTAAAAGCAAAAATTTTTTCACCAATTCCCATCTCCTCTGAAAAAAAAAATGGATGTGTTGAATTTACTTCATTTTATTTCGTCAGGTGATTGCACACAAATTCATCTGGATCCAGATCCGCGTTTGAAGTAGATGTAGGGCCTGCTTAAAAAATATATATATCTGGATCCAGTCATTTTTATTTCTCGCAACGACTTGACGAAATAAAATGTAAATTCAACACATCAATTTTTCAGTGTGTGAATGCGGACTATGATGCCGATGAAATCAGAAAGCACCACTTCACACACTTGGCTGAGCAATTAAATCTCATATGCATCCCCCTCCTTGAGGATTGATAGAGTTTATTCCCGCCGGAGACTGAAACCATTTGGGTTCGATAGCAATTAAAATACATCTATTGTCTAGTCTCAGTCTCAGTCAAAGATTAAATTTATACTAATTAATGGCAACATGAAAACTGTTTCCAGGTAAAAATAAAATAAAATAATTAGGAAGCTGAGAGAACTCAGTCCAGCCGTTGGATAAAGCTTGGCCATACTCAATGCATTTGGAACGTTCTTATGAAGAAACGGCTTTTTGGTGTACTATGTAACATGAAGAAACTGGGCAGCCAAAGAAAAAAAAACTTCAGTTGATGTCAGAAATAATTTTGAGAGTTGCAAACAAAAACAACAAATTAAAACAAATCACTAAAAAGCAGTTAACAGCAAATGCTTATGGACCGATGAGACAAAGGCTAACTTTTATCAGTGATCTGTAGTACTCATCGGAGTGAACGTCATTGCCTTGGGCTTGCATGGCTTCTAGGAAAGCTTCACTAAACTTCATGAACACCATGATGGCGGCAGCAAAATTAAGTCAGCCAAAACATTTTGCCAGCCAATTTTAAGAAAGATGCAACCAAGTGGATCGGGAGATCCTTCATCATGGTGCCAAATAACAGAAAACACGCTACCAAAATGACAACGGAGGTCATCAGGGGGCAAGAAGTGGAGGTACAGTGATGTGGTCAGCATGTAAATACTGTACATGGAAATGAATAAAAGCTGAAATGTTTGATATCAAACTCAAATGTTTCCCAAACTACAGCTCAAATAAAGGAATTGGCCTCACTGTTGCAATGCTTAGAAGGGAGTGTCCTATATAAATATACGCACACACACTGTATAGACAGTGCTATACAAATGTATGTTACAGGTTTATGTTTCTGCGGTTCATTTCTATGTTAGCTTTTTAAATTCAATATATTTCAAGCAGAATTATGCAGGAATTTTCCCAATTGACTGTTGTACAAATATGCTGTGGGGGGGGGGGGGGGCACCCAAACAACAATAACACACAATGACATGCTTGATTACCAGTGGAGAGCTCACTGAAATTGAAAGTGGTCTAATAATTTTGTGAAGAATTATACATGTTAGGGGTGTAACAATACGCCAATCCCCAAGAAAGAAAAGTAGTGCGGCAACTTTGAATCATTTCCAGTTGCGCATTTACCGTGTAGCCCCCTCGTTTCCTTATTTATCTCTATTCTTGATCATTTACCGGTTGTCGGTTACGCTGCGCTGCAACGTGGCTTGTAGCGACAAAAATAATTTTCTGTTGAATTCAACTTTACATAGAAGATAGCTTGTCTTCTGCGTCCTCTCCCGTTCTCTGCGGCTCTGGATGGAGCATGCTGTTCCTCGAACTCTTGCACAGATATTGATACTTGAAGCAAATGCTTCAGCTAACCGACACTCTCACTAGTAAAGAGCAAGTTATGGCCTCGTCAAACTACACAACCTCTTTTTGTCGTTCATAACGGTGGCGCTGTCAGACTCCCAGACAAATATCGTTCTGTGTCTTGGATCGGGCGAGATGTCAAACTACAAGTCCGTCACCGACCAAACCTTGCCCAATCGTTGCGTGCTACTGTCAAGATTCAGTCCCTCGGAGCAGGTCCGTCGCGGAGGTGGGAAAAGCAGCTGTCAAAGTGCTGTCAACGGAGGCATTATGTGCATTGCTTCTGTGTTTAGAAAAGGAAAAAAACAAAAACAAACAAAAAGAAGAGAGATTATGGAGCCGATCCTGGTTTGGGGGGGGTGGGGGTGATATGGACTGTCTATTCTCCAAAAAGAACTTGAGGTAATAAATGCGTTGAATGATGCCACATTTGCTTCAGTATAAAATGTCCCGAGGTGAGATTGTGAGCGCGGATGGTTGTTCGTCTATGTGTGCCCTGCGATTGGCTGGCAACCAGTTAAGAGTGTACCCCATCTACTGCCCGACGACAGCTGGGACAGGCTCCAGCACGCCCGCGGATGGATGGATGGATGGACACCACATTTGGAAATCAGCCACAGGCTTTGCACTTATACATAGCATAAGTTGAAATGCTATATATACTTTCCAATATTTCCCCTTTTGTTCAAGTCACTTTTTCAATGTTGCACACCACATTATGATTGTGTGCGCCACGTCCAGTCTCGCGTCATAACTGAGAGGTCACTGTCTTCCTATTGGTCAACGCCGGGGAACCGATCGAAGGACAACATTGGACAGGTCACACAATGTGGCAAGACAAACAAAAATTCTGACAAGCCAGGCTTTCGTCAATGTGGTCGTGGACCAGTTAAGTATGTCTCACCACACAGGCTATGATGTCAAGGCTACTCCAAATCGACTACGAGACACTACATTTGTCTGCGACACGGCTGTGGGCTCAAAATCAGGCTACATTGTGAAATCTGACATTGGCTATATCTTATCATTTTCCTCAGTGACTACCGAGAAACCAGGGATGCCGGGTGACTGTTTCGACTTGAATTATGCTTGAAAATCTGCAAAGACATTTATTGCCTTGGCTCAGTGTGAAGTGCCCGGGAGAGGCTGTTTCAATTATGTTTTAGGTTTTGTTTTTCCCCTCCATACTCCACTGATGTTTATGCGTCACGATGTCTGTACCCGTTTTTACCCAATGCTTTGTAGTGAAAAATGCACAATCAAATTCATGTAGCCTACCGTTACACCCCTAGTACATATATATACACACACATATAACGTGTGGACAAATCCTGCAATGCCAGTGTGTATTATTTTCTGTCTGGGTTTTTTTTTTCCCTCCAGCACAACATGTCTGTCTATAGAAAAGGGGCCTCTTGACAAAAGCGCACGTCCTTTCATTGTCTGGATCCAAACATTTTGTTCCATTCAGTGTACATATCCATTTCTTTTTGCGATACACTGGCACGAAATTTACAAAAGACCCTCTCAAAGTCCTGGTAGGTTAGGGGCCGAATCATACCGGGCATCTCCACGCCCTGTTGTGTGGATATGTGTAACAGACCCACATGGGTTTCCTGGCAAAGTCTGGAGAGGTCAAGTCCCGAGAATCCTTCAGTGCGTTGGACAACCAGTGCCAGCTCCTCCTCACTCATGCAGTATTTGTGCTGGGATTGGGTGAGGAGCTGGCTGACAATCTGGTGCCGGGCGGCACTATCGGGCAGGGATACAAAAAGCCGCCGAGCAAAGTAGCTGTGCAGCCCTTCATCGATGTCTTGGGGTCTGCTTGTGGAGCAAACCACTAACACGTGTTGTCTTCCATCTCCACCCGAGCCCATTAGAAGTGAGTCCAGCTGGGAAAGTAGCTCCCTCTTTAGTCTGTTAATGGGACTTTCTTCAGTGAGTTGCGCCGAAAGCAGCATGTCCACCTCACTAATGAACAGTACGGAGGGTTGACGGCAGCGAGCTACCAGGAAGGACGCTCTGATAATTTCCTTCCCATCTGTCAGCCACTTGGTGACTAAAGTAGACCCACTGAGCCGAAGTAACGATGCCCCAAGCTGGATGGCCAGACAGCGGCCTAGCAACGTCCGGCCACTGCCTCTCGGGCCAAACAGCAGCACACAATGCGGGGTGGCTCCTAAGCTTCTGAACATGTCAGGGCGCAGAATGGGCCAGAGAACCTCCTCTTTCAGGGTCGCTTTGGCCAGTTCTAAGCCTGCAATGTCACTCCAGTCCATGGGAGGGGCCATCTGAACTATTTCAGAGGTTACCATGCCCAAGAGGTGTGGGTCACAGGTTTTTAGTTGCTCTTCAGCAGTGCGTGAGGAGGGAACACCTGAGCGGGAGTGATGGATACGATGATCTTCAGCATTTTGCTCACTGACGGGTGGGGATATAAAGTCTGCCATGCGAGCAACCCCGAGTGAGGAAGAGACGTAGGCTGATGGAGATAGTGGGTTGGGAGTTGCCTGGCTGCTATACTTTCTTTGCTGCTGCTGTTGTTCCTCCGAAGGCAGCGTGGACTGCTTTTGTGGATTAAACGATAGAGACGGCTTCTCGGAACCTCTCTTAAAACCATTGCCAATGGGACTATCACAGTTCCTGTTTGTGCTGCTGCTGTCTGCCACTCTGTACATTGGGCTCTCGCTTGAGCTTCGAGTTTGGTCATAGCCAAAGCTTGCATAAGAGGAGTCAATATCTCCCTGGCCCGTCACGTAGAAGGCTTTCCTCTTCAGCAAGTTGGAGGAGCAACTATTTAGAGGGCTTGGGGCGATTGGGGTCAAGTTATGGTTGTGGTATGGATAAGGGGGAAGGGGTGTTGGTGCGGCAATGCCTGAGGGGAGGTAAGAGGTTGGTCGGGGCACTCCCCTAGGACTGTATCCAGGTCCAACTGAGCTCTGGGCAGGGTATCCTGCAGGGGTGTAATTATAACCGGACAAGTTTGGCGAGCCTCCGTTGTATGCTGGGACTAATGTAGAGTGAGATGGCGGTGGAGGTGGTTGCAGGAGGCCGGAGCTGTGCAATGGGGAAGTATGTGCGGGCGCAGGGACAGAATGGGAATTGTAACTACTGTGCAAGTAGGAACCGCTGTAAGTGCCGTCATATTCCTGAGAAGGTAATGAGGATGAGTGGAGTGTGGTGGCAGTGTGACTCCCACAGCTGCTGCTGGAGTAGCTGGGCTCACTCAGAGTGCTGGAGGCAAGACCAGGAGAGCTACACAAACCAGTTACCACCTCAGAAGCTGCTGCAACACCTCCCTTGCGGACGGGAAGTCCCTCAGGTATGCAGCTCATAGGATAGACGCCATCCTGCCAAGGTTCCGATTCACCCTTCCGACCGCTCAACCCCGCTGGGACACTGGGGGCTTCGGGATAGGAGACGGGCAACTCCAGGATGCCAGAATATTTCTCGGCATATTTCTTGAGCATGTTGGAGGCGGTGAGGGCCGAGATGTCATCGTTCGCCCAGGCGTACTGGTAGGCGGCCGAGCACTGTAGGTGGCCGGGTACTACACGGAATGGCTCTGCCTTGTGGGCTGGGGAGCATGTGGTCGAGGAGATGTCAAAATGCTGTTCAGCCCACTGGCTTTGCTCGGGATGCCACTGCATCTTCAACCCTGTGTAAAAGAAAGAAAACATGGGAAAGTACAGTCAACGCAATTCGGATTCATCCTTCAGACATCTTGCAATTCAGAGATGCCACACTTCCTCTCTGCCAAGTGGCCTGTGAAGCTAGCAGTGAACCTGAGTGTTCTTCCAAAAACCGAGCTTGGGACACAACATAGCTGAAAAATGGGTAGTCTGTAGTACGGTCGGCACCTCAGTTTCCTGCAGCTTTATGTCTCCCCAAAAAATTGTTTTTTTTTTTTGATTCTTCAGAACACAGTGGCAAGAAGCCAGATTTATACGTTCGAAGTCAATGTTCTAGCAATTTACAAGAGTGGGAGATTATATGCATATCTCAAGAGATTCAAATAGCACTTCAAAATTCAACAGTTTTCCAGGATTGCAAGTACTGCGGTACCTTGCCGTACAAGTTTAATTCGTTCCATGACTAAGCTTGTATGGATGTAGAAAAAAATGTTTCCCCATTGAAAAGAATTGAAATGTAATTCATCTATTATAGCCCCCCAAAAAAGAACCACAATGTTTTAAATACAGAAAAATAATGACCAAAAGTAATAAAAACAGAAATAAACTGCTTTTACAGTGTGGAACTAACCAGTCAAACACACTGCAGTAGTCTTGTAATGATGTGCTCTTTTAAGGGGCGTGACTTAGTGAGTGACATCAGGAATTCGAGTCAGTCAGGTTGGGCGTTTACCACGCGGTTAGAGCGCGTTCTGTACGCTTCTTGCAAGTGTTTTCATTTTGGATGTCATTGGCTGCATGTCCCGTTCATTAGATGGCTGAAAGTGCATCAGCGACTGCGGCTCTCTCTTTTTTTCCTCCCAATTTATGTGCGTATCTGAAGATTGCTCAGAACTGAAATTATGGCTTGAAGTCCAAAGCAAAATAAATCAAAATAAAAGTGATGGCTCGTAACTCGAAAGATTTGTAAACTGGGACGCTCATTAGTCAAGGTACCACTATTTGGGGAAACCGAGCAAGTATATAATCCTATATCCTATATAGCAAAGGCTGGGCTACAGGCCCTTTAATGCACCGTGGCCAGACCAATCAGACCCTGGCCCTCGGAGGGTCATGCTATAATCGCCTGCTCATCTGAGGTGGCTGGAATTGGGCTTTAAAAAAATAAACAAATAAACAAAAAGCCGGCTCGACGAGCAGCCTCACTCAAACCATCAGATTTCTTCAAACACGTAATCAGACACACGCTGGCTCTCGTTCACTGACCCAGATGAATAAACACGGGCATGAGATGCTGTGGCAACTGCTGCAGGCTATGAATCACAATACATTTTGTGTCTGAAGCTTTGGTTCCTTCCTGCACAGCTCCACCTTGACCTCTCCTCTGTAATACCTCCCCCAGTCTGTCTTGCTTCCATTGCTGCCTTTCCTCCTCACTTAAATCCCATCAATTGTGCACCGCAAACCGCAACCACTAGAATGTTTTTTTTTTGTTTGTTTTTATGATTTATAATCTCCAGCTTTTATTTTCTCAGTATTTAGAATTCCGATTTGGATTCTTTCTCAGATCTTGTTTCCTAGTCGCCACCTGCGCCTTTAATATTTACTGCACTCACTCCTGCGTCTTCCCCACCCCCTTTTGCTGTATCTCATCTCCAGCTACTTTCACCTGCCCCCTGCCAGCCCTCTTTTATTGCCTTGGGTGGCTAGTGAGGGACTGTTTCCTTTAATCCCAGCCAGGGCCATCTGTAAACATGGACAGACTTCCACCGACTCACTGCACATAGTCCGACCACCAAAGGCTGCGGGAATTAATCACAGCAGATTACAATCCTTAGTACTACAAAATATAATAAAGGTGTCTTAAAGCAACCTTGCGTCACTTATTGATCGTCAAGGAGAAATCCACAGTTGGGTATGGGCAACATTGCTTCATTTGTGGTAGAGCAATTCGGAGCTACCACGAATCCACTTAGACGCCAGCAAATTAAAAATGTAATACACAGCCACGTTCTCTGGTTTATTTGGGAATAAAACAGTTCAGGAGAGGGATCACAGGTCCCCAGACTATTTTCTCCTTTGCGAATCTCCTCTCCAAACATCTCTCGGCAGCCGCAAGTGGCTAATTAGCACATTGGTAATCAGCTAATTGCATTCATTTCTAACATTTTAGCCAAGAGGAGTGTGGCAGGGGCGGCAAGCCTGTCAGACACTCAGTGCAGTGAGAAGCCTTACATGTCTGCTAACTCCCGCAAGACTAACATGCAGCCTGATAGTAAACAACCCCGTTGTGCGGTTGATCTTTTCATGAAGCAACAACAACCGCAATTTGGGCAGTATTTTCCTCAACATATCTCAGCGGTGTTAAAGGAGCGACTCTGTACTGAAACATGGAGCTTTTTTATTTTTACAGTTTTCCTCCATTTTCAGTTTGTTGTTTATGTTGAAGATATCTAAAAAAAATAAAATAAAAATTGTTTTGCCTAATTGTCCTATATCGATTAGATATCCAGAAATTGAGCAACACGGGCTTTGTCAGTGCATTGCAATGATGGGCTTCATCAGTAAAAGACCCCAGAACATCAGAAAGGGCAAGCACAGTGGAACACCACAGGGGTGAGTCCTCATTCTCCTTCTCATGTTCATCCCGGCAAGATTATAAAATTTTGATGATGTCATCAGCACCGTTGGACTGATCAAGGAAGGCGAGTTAACAAGTTGAGTGAAAAGGACTGCACTCCTCTTCACTACAGTCTAGTGCAGTGGTTCTTAACCTTGTTAGAGGTACCGAACCCAACCAATTCATATGCAAGTTCACCGAACCCTTCATTACTGAACAATGAAAATCTGATTCAAGAAGTGTTCCTTCAGTTTTGCCGGTGCGAGAATAGAGTTGCTCAACTTGGCATTACAAATCATACAGATAGGACGCTGAGTCCCATCACGTTCCGTGATGCATGTGAATCCATGTGGTACATATTCGTCCGACCACTTTGGTGTTTTTGCTCGACATCGTTAGAATGTATTAAAACATTCTTAAAAAAAAAAAAATCACACGACATCCTTTCGTGACAGTCACACGTTGACTACTGAGCGAACTAAATTTCCCGCAGCACTGATTGGTCAAGCAATGTAATGTGCTCATCTGCAGCCAGTGATGGCCAAGCGAGCATGCTGTAACTAATTGACATGTTGAGTCGGGTATGTCTTAACCTCCATGGCAGAGGCTCCGTCGAACCCCTGAGACTGATTCACCGAACCCCTGGGGTTCGATCGAACCCAGGTTAAGAGCCACTGGTCTAGTCCAACATCACATGGTTAGCGCAGGCTTACTGCTTGCTTCCTGCCATCCGCCTTGTTGTGTGGTCATTTGCTGTTTTGGTTGTTGTACACAGTATATTGCTGATACTGTAAAATCCCATATAAAGTAGTGTAGTTCCATAAAGAAGTGGAAAGTCGACCAAAAATATAATTTATACATTAAATTCTCTAAAACACTACTTAAAATGCTCTCAGACATACTACTGAAACACTCTCATATTGATGCACAACTGAAAGACGCTCACACAGAGTACTGAAACGCCCTGTGACGTGCATGATTTTAGCGGACAACTTTGGGCATCATAAGACACGGATCAGTGCAAGGACAACATAGCAAGCATACTGACTCTTAAATCTGCATTATAAATGGAAATATAATCACAATTCTAATCTTTTATGCATATACTGTATACCTTTCAATATTAAACAAATGGTCTTTGAGTGTCAAAAATAAAACAAGTGTGCCATATGCATCGTTTAATATAACTATAAAATAATTCAATAAATTTGAAAAATGAGAACTAGAACTGTCTTCGCCTGACAGTATGTCACTAGTTAAAAAAAAAAAAAAAAAAGCAGTGAATTTCAGAAGTTCTAAAAAGAGACCAAAATGTCTCTCCGAGGCTCACTTTTCCCTCCAAAGAAAACCGACGCGGGATCCAAATGCACTTTGAAGTCGAATGTGAGCTCCTCCTCAGCTCACCATGATGACAACTAGTCTGTCAAAAGCAAAAACAACAACAGATGAGGGAAGTAAACAGAGTGAGTTCAAAGTCTCAGCTTCTTGAGCGCTGACCCGAAGAAATGAGCTGTCACTAATTCAAAGACAGTAAGGGCTGCCGGTGCTTGGCTGCTGTAAAGATGACAGCTTGCATTGGCAATATAAAGATACTTGACACATGTCAGCATCTTTTTTGAGGAAAAAAAAAATCTAATATCCATGGTAATACATGCTCTTTAACATCACGGCGTGACCATCAAACTCCAATCAGCGGAATCATCAGAAGATCGGCTTTGACAAGTTTACGGGCGCTAGGCAAATCCAAAATATCATGAGACGACCCACAAAGCTTTTGTTAACAGTGTCGCTAAATTTAGTCAGACAAACTAGATACATATACCGTACAAAGGAGTCTCATTTTCTCCCTGGCTGACAGGTGAAAATGTCATACCACACTACCGCTCTCAGAAAAATGGTGTGAATGCTCCCACTAGAGATGTCCGGACTGATTCTACACAAATAGAAAATGAAAACGCTTGCAGGGAGCATGGCGAAGATCCTCACATTGATATAGCTTCGAACTTGGGTCTTAACATCATTCACGAGGCCACACAAACACGGTGTGCATGTGAGCGTGTTTGACATTTGGCTCAATTCAAAAATATAGTTCATTTCTTGAAATTATTTTTATTCCGATTTATATTTTACAATGCAATGCTATTTTTCTTCATTTCTATCTTTGTCATTGTTGTGGTGATTGGGGTGCTGGAACCGATTAATGACTTTTCAGTTTTCAGGATTGACATACAGTGGATAGGGCCAACCCACAAACAGCAAAAATCCGCATATGATTCTTCCATGAAAAACAGGGGTTGCCCATAACCGAAAAAAAACCCAAACAAAAAATATTTAAAATATATATTTTTTAAAGTTTTGATGCCCCCAAAAATAAATAAAATGATCCACAAATAGGTGACCCTGTGG